GGAAGGAAGGAAGGAAGGAAGGAAGGAAGGGAGGGAGGGAGGGAGGGAGGAAGAAAGGGAGGAAGGAAGGAAGGGAAAAGACAGCCTTCCAGGGAAACTGGGATCCTAGGAAAACATGAAAAGGGATCAGGGATGGAGGATTACCGACACTGGCCTATTTGGGACACTTACCCAGTTCTTCTTATCATTGCTTAAAATACATTTTACCAGCTTAGCTCAATTGCACTTCTAGGACTGATTATATACCATAGGAGCAGGCTCAGTATGTCCATGTGTAGGAGCAGGTCTCCTCGCCCCCATAGGAGCAGGCTCAGTACAGCTATGTGTAGGAGCAGGTCCCCTCACCCCATAGGAGCAGGCTCAGTACGGCTATGTGTACGAGCTTGACTGCACACACACCTGAGGTTTGTCTTCTTCCTCTCTCTTGTGCGTCTGTGTCCTCTCATGGCGGGGTCGCCTGCGATAATAGTGACTGTCATCTGTCACATTTGAGAACATGTGAATATTTCCTGGAAAGCAGATATTAGAGAGAGGGAAAAGAAAGGGAGAGAGAGAACATTTATGAGATGGCGATTCCCTTTTGGTTCTTTTCAAAGTCTTGTTCCCAAGGAGGCTAAAGACAGGGCATCTGCCTATCTGGCCCAGCGAAAAAAGAAGACAATAGGTGAGCCAAGGGGCCAGCTGGGCAGGGGATGTGCAAGGCTCTCCTGACTTTAGGGCCCAATCCTTTGCAAGTTTGTGGGGGAAAAAACTCCAAAGGGCCACAAGACAGCATTTTGGCTATGAATCCTATGAATCCTATTTGACACACTTAGGTTTGCTTCTGTGCTCAGTATTAGTGACTAGCATCTCTTTAAACATGTATTTATTTTTATGTGCATTAGTGTTTTGCCTGCATGTATGTCTGTGTGAGGGTGTCAGATCTTGGAGTTATAGACAATTATTACCTGCCATGTGGGTGCTAGGATTAAAACCAGGTCCTCTGGAAGAGCAATCAGTGCTTTTAACCGCTGAACCATCATCTCTTCAGCCCAGGCAGGCACTACCATCTTTAACAACCACTCATAAAATTCAATTTATCGCTGGGTGGTGGTGGTGCATGGCTTAAATCCTAGCACTCGGGAGGCAGAGGCAGGTGGCACTCTGTAAGTTTGAGGCCAGCCTGGTCTACAGAGTTCCAAGATGACCAGGGCTGTTCCACAGAGAAATCCTATCTTAAAAAACAAAAACAACAAAAAATGCAATTTATGCTGCTGTGTAGCTTAGCATGCGTTACATGCCTACCATGCTGAAGGTTCTGGATGCATCCGTAGCAACACAAAAATTCAACTTACTATCTTGGCACTGAATTTTCTCAATGTCTAGTGTTTTGTGATATACTTTCTGGGCTTCTCTCTTGTGTATATTGATTTTAAAGAAAATTGGTTTCATCATGATTTCTCTCTCTCTCTCTCTCTCTCTCTCTTTCTTTCTTTCTTTCTTTCTTTCTTTCTTTTTTGAGACAGGGTTTCCCAGCCAGTATCTATGGAGCCTGTCCTGGAACTCACTCTCTACACCAGGTTGACCTCAAACTCACAGAGATCTGCCTGTCTCTGCCACCTGAGTGCTGGGATTAAAGGCATGTGCCATCACTGCCCAGCTCATTGTAATTTTTAAAAAAGATTTATTTTTATGTATATGGATATGTGGTGTTTTTATGAGAATGGATCCCACAGGTTTATGCATTTGAATGTTTGGTCCCCAGTTAGTGGAACTGTTTGGGAAGGATTAGGAAGTATGACCTTGCTGAAGTAGCTGTGGTCTTGTTGGAAGAGACTGTCAGTGGGGTTGGGCTTTGAGGTTTCAAAAGTCCACGCCAGGCTCAGTTTCCCTGTCTCTGACTGCTGCCTGTAGATCATGCTGCAGAGTTCTCACTACTGCTCTATTGCCATGAGCATCTTCCCATCATGAAGATAATAAACTAGCCTTCTGAAACTATAAGCAAGCCCCTAATTAAACACCTCCTTTTATAAGAGTTGCCTTGGTCAAGATGTCTCTTCACAGCAACAGAATACTGGCTAAGACAGGGTGTTTTGCCTGCTTGCATGTCTGTGCATTAAATGCACACAGTACCCATGAAGGCCAGAAGGCATCACAAGGATCCACTTGGAGATGGAGTACAGATGGGAGTGAGCTGCTGTGTGTGTGTGTGTGTGTGTGTGTGTGTGTGTGTGTGTATGTGTGTGTGTGTGTGTGTGTGTGTTGGAAATTGAACCCAGGTCCTCTACATGGGCAAATGCTCTTAACTACTAAGCCACCTCTCCATTATGTGTTTTTGTTTGTTTGTTTAAATATTTATGATGCTGGGTGTGGTTACACACACCTTTAATCCTCACACTCAAGGCAGAGGCAGGCAGATCTCTGTGAGCTTGAGGCCAGACTGAACTACAGAGCTTTCCAGAACAGCCAGGCCTACATAGAGACCTTGTCTTAAAAGAACAATAAAGATTTATTTATGGGCTTTAGTTAACTGGTGCGGGAGAATTGTCTGTATTCTGTCAATCATGTTTTAAATAAACGCTGATTGGCCAGGCTGGAGGTGTAGGCGGGAAAACAAGGCAGGAAGTGAAAATGATGCAAGGAGAGCAGGAGAATTCTGGGGAAGAGGAAGTTGATTCCTCCCATTCCTGCCCAGATCACCGAAGCTACAGGATGTGAGGTGCCCCACTGAAAAAGGTACTGAGCCACATGGCTAACATAGATCAAAAAAATGGGTTAATCAAGATGTGAGAGTTAGTCAGTAAGAGGCTAGAGCTAATGGGCCAATCAGCTTTATAACTTATAGAGATCTCAGTGTAATTTTTCTCTGGGACTAAACAGCTGGGGGGCCGGGCAGGACAAAAACACAAACAAACAGGCCCGGCCTTTTCATGTTACATAATGGCGCCCAACGTGGATACAAACAGGCCCGGCCTTTTCATGTTACAACAGTTAACTAATTTTTTTTTGATTTATTTATTTATTACATACATGGTGTTCTGTTTTGCATGTATGCCTGCTGGCCAGAAGAGGGCACCAGACCCCATTACAGGTGGTTGTGAGCCACCATGTGGTTGCTGGGAATTGAACTCAGGACCTCTGGAAGAGCAGCCAGTGCTCTTAACCTCTGAGCCACCTCTCCAGCCCCTCAGTTAACTAATTTTTGTATCTTTTATTTTACATACCCACCACAGTTTCCTCTCTCTTCTCTCCTCCCATTCCTTCCCCTCAACTCCCCCTCCCTCCACCTCCAGAGTTCAAGTGTCTATATCTGTATACATGTGTACCACACGCATGCCTGCAGAAGTCAGTCCCTTGGAGCCGGAGTCACAAATGTTTGTGAGTCACTATTTGAGTACCAGGGCTCCAGCCTAGGTCCTCTGAAAGAGCAGCCAGTACTCTCATTCACTGAACCCCAGATACACATTTTGTTTTTGTTTTGTTGTGGCTGCTGATGGTGGTGGGTTTGTTGTTATTGTTTGGTTGGTTTTTCTTTTTGGTTTGAGAGACAGGGTTTCTCTGTGTAGCCCTGACTGTCCTGGAACTCACTATGTAGACCAGGCTGAGATTATTTTGTTTTGAGACAGGGACTTATGTAGTCCAGCTGGCCTCAAACATGCTATGAATTAAAGAAAACCTTGAACTCCTGATGCTCTTGCTTTCTCACCCATCACGTGCTGGAATTATATGTATAAACCACTGTATATATAAATATACACTGTGTATATATGGATATTCTGAATATATATAAACCACCATGCTTAGCAGTTCACTATGACATTGAAAAAATATTTAATTAATTTTACATGTGTGGTGTTTGTCTACACTTGTGCCTGTGTGTCACATGCATGCAGTGCCCACAGAAGCTACTAGCATGCGTCAGGTCTGGCATAGAGATGGTTGTGAGCCACCATGTGAGTGCTGGGAATCAAACCTTGGTCCTCTGCAAGAGCAGTTGGCGCTCTTAACCACAGAGCCATTTCCCTACCCTATAAAGGACTTTTATTAATTTATTAATTTTTATTTGATTTTGGCTTTTTGAGACAGGGCTTCTCTGTGTAGCCCTGGCTGTCCTGGTACTCACGCTGTAGACCAGGCTGGCCCTGAACTCAGAGATCTGCCTACCTCTAACTCCTAAATGCCAGGATTAAAGTCATGTACCCCACTGCCTGGACAGAACTTTTGAAAATATTACATTAATTTATTTATTTTAGATTGTGTTTGTGTATGTGTGCACGCCCATGTGTGCACATGTATACATGCATACAAATCACATGTATGGAGGCCAAAGGACAACTTTCAGGAATTGTGTCTCTCCTTCTACCATGTCCAACCCAGAGATCAAATTCACATCTTCAGGCTTGGTGGGAAGAACCTTTACCTGCTGAGTCATCTCACTAGCCCCTAGCATTATATTTTTATACATGTATATCACATACTTAGGCCATATTCACTTCTCTCCTTTATTTTATCTTGTCTCCCCCTCTCCCTGGTTCCCTCTTTTCCCAAAGAACATTTGTGTTGCGGGGTGATCTAACTTCTTTGTAACTGCAATTTTGTGAGGATGACATTAATGAAAGGTATTTAGTCTGGAAGTGCTCTGTAACCACCTGACCCTGATGGGCATGTCTAGTCCTTGAGTCAGGCCTGGCAGGACCACAGTCTGCAACCACAGCCACTGGAAAGGCTGAGATAAGAGGACAGCAAGTTCAAGACTGTTGTGGGTACATAAGGGGTTCAAAACCAGCCAGGGCACTTAGACTTTGCCTTGCCTAGAATTAAGACCCTAGGTTCAGTCTTTATATCATATATGTGTGTGTGTGATGTATATTTTATATTTCACAGCAGTCCTGAAATATCAGTCCCATTTTTCAGGTGTGGTTTGCTGCGAGTCCCTGGCAGGTGACTATAGTAAAAGAAATCAGATGATATGGTCAAAATTCTGCAGAGCTGGAGGCTAGAGACTTCGTCAAACATCCACTCAGCTCACTCCGAATTCTTGCTGTTTCTCTAGCATCATTTCTATTCAGATCTTCAAACAAGAATTTGCTGAGATTCATAAATAAATTGTGGAAAGAATCATAATTTTAGCCTGGCATGGTGGCACACACCTTTAATTCCAGCACTTGGGAGGCAGACACAGGCAGATTTTTGAGTTCTAGGCCAGCCTGGTCTACAGAGTTCCAGAACAGCCAGGGCTATACAGAGAAACTTTGTCTTTAAAAAAAAATAATAATAATTTTAATATTAAGATAATAACCTCAGGCTGTGCTGGCGCACGCCTTTAATCCCAGCACTCAGGAGGCATTGGCAGGTGGATCTTTGTGAGTTCGAGACCAGCCTGGCCTACAGAGCTAGTGCCAGGACAGACTCCAAAGCTACACAGAGAAATCCTGTCGCAGAAAGAAAAAGTTAATAACCTTGGGCTGGAGAGAAGATTCAGTGGTTAAGAGGACTGGCTGCTCCTCCAGAGGACCCAACATCCACAGCCACTCACAGAAGTAATTCTTGCTCCAGAGGTACCCTCTTCTAACCTCTGTCACCAGACACACATAAGGTGCATGGACATACATGTGGGCACCAGACACACTGAAGGTGCATAAACATATATGCAGGCACCAGATAAACACAAGGCACATACACATACATACAGGTACCAGATACACACAAGGTGCATAGACATACATGCGGGCAAAAAAAAAAATACCAACCTGAAGGAAAATGTCCTCCAAAGAACACATTGAATAGTTCCTCTGGAGAGATGTCAGCTTCAAAATCCCGGTAATAATGGTAAGATCTGTGTCGAGGTGCAGTGAAAGTCACTTGCTCATCTCCATACTGGTCGTAGCGGAGTCTCTTGTCGGGATTGCTCAGGACCGCAAAGGCATTTCCTATTGCTGCAACCAACAAGATGTGGCACATGAGCACATCCTTGGCTGTGCCCGGGGGTGACCACTGCAGCAGCTGTGGCAAGAAGCCCGGGGCCGGTGCTAGACAGCCTCACAGAATTCCAAAGAGAGGTACTTAGGTCTACAAAGTTCCCCCAAGGGACTCGCCCCAGAGATTGCTCATAATCTTGATAAAACAGAAACAACACAAGCACCCAACAACTAGGAACTGCTACTGAAGTGAGCAATGGTCTCAAGTCATCCAGCTGTCCTGACATTGGGACTGTGCTCTACCCGAGGCTGCCAATAATGTCAGAATTCAAAAATAGAATTTGGGGGGCTGGAGAGATGGCTCAGAGGTCAAGAGCACTTGTTGCTCTTATAAAGAAGCCAGGTTTAGTTCTCAACATTGCAATAGGTGCCGACAGCTGCCTGTAACTCTAGTTTTTGGGGTTCTGACACCCTGTCAGGCCTCTGTGGACTCTGTACACGTAGACAAATAAGCACACACAAACACATCAACAAAAATTTAAAAGAAATCTGTTCAGCCAGGCAGGTGGATCTCTGAGTTCAAGGCCAGCCTAATCTACAGAGAGAGTTCCAGGACAGTCAGGGCTACACAGAGAAACCCTGTCTCCAAACACCACAAAAATAAACAAAAGCCCCAAGGGCTCACCAAAGTTTCATGTGAGCACATTCTAGGAAACAGTCTTCTGAATCTGAGAAATGTACCTGCAAGAGCCGAACATTATACCTGTAATCCTAGCACTTGAGATGGAGGAGGACCAAGTGCTCAAGGCCACCCTTAGCTACGTGGCAAGTTTGAGCATAACCTGGGCTCAAGTCTCAGAAAAGCAAAAACAGGCAGGTAGAGGCTCTTGTGCCCTCCTTGTACATGCTGTGGCATACATGCGCTTACGCTCACACCACACACAGATTCAGGTGCCTGCTGGTGTCAACAGTCAGAAGGAGCACTTTGTTAGGATTCTTCTACAAAACTCTAATAATGTTTGCATTAAAACTAGCTAACCAGAAAAACAAACGAAAACACCCAACAAATATGGCTGCTCAAGCACGCATACTCCTTGAAATATAACAGATTTCCCAAAGAAATGGTATTGGTTTGTGAAACTTCCATATGCATATAAAGAGACTGTGGAATATCCATGTTTCCTTAGCAATGCTGTGAGAATCAGACACACAACTGAGGCTGGTGTCATGCTACACAGGATTTTTTTTTTTTTTTTGAGACAGGGTTTTCCAGTAACTATGGAAGTTGTGGAACTTACTCTGTAGACTAGGCTGACCTTGAACTCACAGAAATCTGCCCCCCCTGCCTCCCAAATGCTGGGATTAAGGGCATGCACCACCATCACCCAGCTTTTTCTTTTCTTTTTAAAGATTTATTTTTAGCTGGGCACGGCAGCACACACCCTTAATTAATCCCAGCACTCTGAAGGCAGATCTCTCTGATTTTAAGGCCAGACTGGTCTGCAGAGTGTGTTCCAGGACAGCCAGGGCTACAGAAAGACATTGTCTCAAGCCAACAAAAAATCCATTCCCATTTACGTGTATGGGCTTCTTGCTTGAATGTATATATATGTATCACATGTATGCAGTGCTCACAGGGACCTGAATTGCCTGGAGCTGGAGTTACAGACAATTGTGAGGCACCACATGGGTTCTGGGAATTGAACACTGGTCCTCTGCAAGAATAGCCAGAGCTTGCCGGGCAGTGGTGGCACATGCCTTTAATCCCAGCACTTGGGAGGTGGAAGCAGACAGATCTCTGTGAGTTTGAGACCAGCCTGGTCTACAGAGCAAGTGCCAGACAGGACAGTCTCCAAAAAGCTACAGAGAAACACTGAGCTATCTCTCCAGCCCCCCAAATAACTTAAAGCTTTCTGCTTTCTGAGGTGCCCACAAGACAGTGAGTAAAGGCACTTGTTATTTGGCCTGATGACCTGAGCGCAATCCTTGGAAGTCACATGGTCTACATGGAACCATAAGGAATGAACCAACTCCTTCAAGTTGTCCTCTGGCCTTCATACACCCACATACCCATAGCCACACAATAAATGTAAAAGATATTCAAGTCTTTTCTTCTTTTTCAAAATATCAAACATACAGAAAGGTTTATGGGGCTATGTTTTGTTTTGGTTTAGTACAATAAAGACATAGATGCCGGGCCTGGTACAATGATGAGAAGAAAACAGAGCAGGACATGTCCGGAAGAAGGCACCACTCTTCTTCCTGGGCTAGGGTGAGGTTCTGGGAGTCACCGACTCATACCGTGGTTGGTTTTCTCAAAGGAAGGAGGCATAGGTCCACTAGCCTTTGAATCTGCTGTTGTCTCAATTGGTGGGCAGTGCAATTCACCTTTTCCCCAGGAGCAAGAACAGCAATCGCCTTCAGGAGTCCAGTCCCGCCTCCCTTCACAGCACACAAACTCCTCGTCCTCCATTCCTATACCACCTGCTTGCTTCTTTCTCTCCCATCACTCCACCACCCACTCACTCGCTTCCCACAGTGCTCAGCTGCGTGCTGGGCCCTGTGCTGTCTCTGTGCTTCCAGACTGATTAATTCTTAGTATTTTATTACATTGTAACTCTCCATCAAGGGCTAGAGATTTAGGCCATTGGCTTCAATCCCTAGCACAGCAAGCAATCCAAACAGGAGAAAAAGCTGGTATTCAGTTGACTCTATATAAACGTTATTACACTGATTTTCTTGAGGATTTTAGATCAGTATTCTGTCTGTCTGTCTGTTTTTCGAGACAGGGTTTCTCTGTGTAACAGCTCTAGCTATGCTGGAACTCACTCTGTAGACCAAGCTGGCCTTGAACTCACAGAGATCTGCCTGCCCCTGCCTCTGCTGGGATAAAAGGCACCACCACTGCCTGGCTATACGGTGTTTTCTTACAAGCATGCCAATAACATGTAACATGAATGAGGAGTTCCCTGGTCACAGAAGTCTGAAGTGCTGCCTGGAACCCATATGAAGTGAGTACCTGCAAAGGCCAGAAGAGGACACTGGGTCTCTGGCGATGCCACACGTCTTATAGGAGCTGCCTGACAAAGCGCCAGTGCTGACGACTTGGACGGACCCTTCACAGTCCTTGGTGGAATTTCCTACACAACTCTTGCCTGTGTCTTTGACATGTTTAGTGTTTGAATTTATTGCTGTGAAGGGCCCCTCACTTAAGGCTAGGACTGGGATAATGTAACAATTCTTATAAATGCTGATGTTAATAAGAATAAAACTTATGATGGTTCCCTAGGAGAATTAGTTAGGCAAGATATTGAGTCTTCTATAGAATCTACTACTTAGGTGGTATCAGTAAGTATGAGACAGGATTTGGAAAAAAATCATTAAAGAAGAAAAACTCAGGGAAACTTTAGAAGCTAACAAACCATAACTGAATCATTGGGTTTTCATGTTGTCTCAGAAACACAAAACCAGCATGGACAGGAAAAGATTTTGATTATGATATTATGACAGGCCTTGGTGCCCTCCTGAAGGCAAAGCAAGCAATTTTGGGAATCTTCATGATGTTCTACTCATTGCAGGATTGTAATAAAGATAGAGACCATGCTGAAAACAAGGGTTTATGACAGAGACACAAAGAGAAACATCTGGCTGGGTGAACTGCCTGGCTTCCTGAGCAGACTCACAGATCAGGACTTCTCTGACTGTAGGAGGAATAAAGAGAAGAGGTCAGTATTTCAGAGGTCAAGGGAAAGGATGGCGGTCTTATGTTAGATATAAAAGAAAGAAAGAATTTAAACAAGGGACCAAGGAATTAGATTTCAACAGTAAGATCAGCTATTCATTGCAGTAGATTAATAGAATAATAGAGTAGAAGCTTGATATAACAGGTAGGAGGAAATAAGTTCTGATCTATGAACTTAGTCAAACAAATAGAGACATCCTTGTTTAATTTCTGTAACCACAGACTTTTACAACACCAATTTTTTTAAAAAAGAAATTGAGTTAAAAGAATTGATTTTATCATAATATTAGTTTTTAGTTCTCATTAAATTCGCTGTTCTGTTTTTTTACTTTGATATGCTTATGTAATCAAGGAAGACTTTAGAATAAGTATGTAGCATGAAAAGACTCTGTAATCAATGATTAAAGTCTATGAGGAAAAGATTTTGAGTCTAAATAAAGTCTATGATGGCTGGACAGTGGTGGCACACCCCTTTAATCCCAGCACTCAGGAGGCAGAGGCAGGAGGATCTCTGTGAGTTTGAGGTCTGGTCTATAGAGTGAGTTCCAGGATAGGCTTGCTACACAGAGAAACCCTGGTTTTGTTTTGTTTTGTTTTTAAAAAAACACAAATAAATAAATAGATAAATAAATAAATACGATAAGATAAAGCCTGTGAGATGCAGGACGTCAGAGTAGGTCAAGCCATCCAGTGATTTGCTTCCTCTCTGTCCATCTTCCGTGAAACAAAACTAAGGGGTGTCCTGTGTCTGATTTCTCTGTTGCTGCTCTTGCATCTACCCACTTAGAAGTTTGAAAAAAAGGTGGAAAAGATCTTAGATGTTGGTACACTAGGCATGGCCCTGAAGAGGTGCCTATTCAAGCATTTCCTTGTGGACCCTTATTAAACAAACCCTCTCTCCAGAAGAAGGGACAGATCTCCCCGACAACGTTTCTGAAAGAATTTCTCTTGTTACCATAAAATCTCCCTTCTAAGCCTCCTCCACTAAAACATGGAGATTTAATTGATCTGTTAAATAATGATTCAGAAGAATCTGATCCTGAGGATGCTCCTTAGGAGCCCTCAGATCCTCATAATGCCCATAATTTAGAAGAAGCTGTGAGATCATGATAAAGATTGGCCTCCCCCTTATGATAAGTCATCCGCTCCTCCTAGAAAAAAAAAAAGACTATCATCAAAGTTCAGGACTCAAGCTTTCTGGCACTGCCCAGGAAGCAGCCTTATCTGGAGATCCTCTTTTAAGATGCTCCCTTCTTATTTATGGGGACGAAGTGAA